AGAGAGAGAGAGAGAGAGAGAGAGAGAGAGAGAGAGAGAGAGAGAGAGAGAGAGAAAAGAAGAAGAGAGCGCGCGCGAGACCACGCGAAAGAAAGAGAAGAGAGATCGAGTGACAGAGAGAGGAGCAGCAGCCGCAACGAAGGTCGCCGCCGGTCGGCGAGCAGCGTTCGCTGTCACCGCGAATCGCTCGTACGCCCTCCTCCTCTCTCTCCCCACCCCCCTCCGTCCTTGTCCACAAGTTCTCTGCTGCTCTTCCACCTTCATCACCTTCTCTCTGCTCCTTCACCTCCGGTGTTTCTCTTCTACCTCCTTCTTCGCCGCTGCCAACTCCTCCTCCTGTCAAAGGAGGATTCCGCTGTCCTGAGCCATGGCGTGCTGCCTGTCAGAAGAGGCGAAGGAACAGAAACGCATTAATCAAGAGATTGAGCGACAATTGCGGAGGGACAAGCGGGATGCTAGGCGAGAACTCAAACTCCTGTTACTCGGTGAGTATATTTTGTTTCATTCGACACACACACACACAAATATATATATATATATATATATATATATATATATACACACACACACACACACACATATATAGAGAGGTTTCTCATGTAAGAGACCGATAACCGGTTAGGATGACCAGCCCTAGAATGTGGATATCCGCGGAAGCGGGTATGAGAATACGTCTCGTGCTCGCGCTCTTGGCGGTCAATTTTCGTCGTGATACCCGAGGAAAAGTGTACCCCCTGCGCGCGCGTTTACATAATTAGTAGCGCGTGGTTCAACCGCCTCATAACGAAGCAAGAGAGAATCATTGAGTCGCGTCGCGTTGCGTCGCGTATTACAAAGTGCGCTCGTGAGAGCGCGAGCGCACGGGATCATTAACGCAGCTGATTATCGTGCGGGTCGCGTTTGCGAACTTACTCCATCTCACGTATCAACAACGCATGTTGCTCGTTTCCGAAATCCGTTTCTCGTCACCGCGAGAATATAACGAAAAAAAAGACCCAAAACGTAATCCAACGTGCCGTGATGACTGACAAGGGTCACTCTCTCGTATCGTCGTTTGTTGTCGAGGAAGGTAAACGAGTAATTTGCCACTTGACTCGCTTTCCCCGCTATCTCGGCGTAAATCCCGCATTAGTCGGGGAATACGCGGCGCTGATAAGAGGTGAGTGGTCGTGCGGCGGCCGGTTACTCGCGGAAAGGAGAGGAGAGAGTAACGAAAATGTGTGGATAGCCCGATAGTAATAACGTTCTCGCCTCGCACAAATTGCTCGCTCTTTTTACACGCGAAAAGGAAGGGGAGAGAAAGAAAGTACATCGCGGAGCAAGTGTGTTAACGCGGGGTTTACGAGGTGCGCAAGGCGGATAGCGAGGTGGTGGTTCGTTGAGTAGCGTGTGCTTATCCGACGAAAGAAAACGAGGAAGACGTGTTCTCGCCCGCTTTCTGCTCTCTTCGAAACACGTAATTACACTTTACAAACGATACGACACCGCGCGTCTCCATCGTGTGAGGGAATCGCCGATTTTCACTCTCTTCAATTAAGCGCAAGTTGGCTCAGCACGTTGTCTGCTGATGTATCATCACTGATATATTTGACAGAAATAATAATATAATAACATAAATAATAATATGGCATAAATAACACCGGGATCAACGTATCACCGGTGGTACATTCGTATGTAATCAGTAAAATATCTCTACATTAACCCGTGATCTGATTGACAAAGATACAACTTCTCTCCCGAAAATTTAAACTGGGAAAACTCGGGATAAAACTTCCCTTACGGAATTTCTTTTTGAATTTGGACTGGCCGCCCAAATGTGTATCCAACAATTGCTACATCCTCCCAACGTTCTCAGTCGTAAATTAAAGAGCGGCAAAAGGACTCATTTAAAACCAACGGGACGTGACCTGATATGACGCGACGCGACGCGACGCACATCATGAGACGATCATGAATTCCGTCATTCCGGAAAGTACCACGCTACGGCGCTTCCCTCAGTGTCACGATTTAGTGTCGCGATTATTACCGTGTATTCCTTCAGAAGAATAGTACAAGTTCGCTCGCTCGTTCGTTCGTTCGTTCGTTCGTTCGTTCGTTCGTTCGTTCGTTCGTTCGTCCATCTATCCGTCCGCGTCGTTTCATTCATGCGTTTTCCGCGAATGTGGCCGTGGCCGCGGCCGCGTGTCGCCGACGCCGACGCTGACGCCGACGCCGGCGCCGCCCGGGAGACGTCCGCGTCACGTACGTTTCTCTCGTCTTGTGCACGAGGTCGATCGGCGCGGCCGGCGTGCGCTTGACAGCTATCTCTCTTTCTCTCTCTCTCTCCCTCTCTCTCTCTCTCTCTCTCTCTCTCTCTCTCTCTCTCTCTCTGTCTCTGTACTCTTCCTCTCTCGTCCGGCCGCTGCCTCCGCGATATCGCGCTGCCTGTACAGTGTACCCAGACACCATCGTCGCTTTTCTCCTCGTCGCTATGGATTTTTTGACCAAACCGAACGGAGTTGAGAGAGAGAGAGAGAGAGAGAGAGAGAGAGAGAGAGAGAGAGAGAGTGTGT